GGGTCGTGGGTTCGAGCCCCACGTTGGGCGTATGGATTTTGTGCCCTTCCACAGCCCCTTTTGAGGGGTTCCTGCAGCGGCCTTGGTGCAGGTGTAACCAGAAAAAAATTGGCAGTGACTGTAATGAAATGGAGCATTGGTACAAAAACCGTAATAGTGAAATTATCCCTTAAAGCTGGAGCAGCCTCACAGAGATCAGGGGAGACAACCGAGCTGGGGAATCACCCGGTATGAAATTCAACAAGAGCAAGTGCAGAATTTTCCACTGGGGTAAAAAAACCCCTGTAAAGTCCTTTTCAAATCCCTTTCTACACAATAACACGGTTAAGGTGCAAGCTGCAAGGGCCTTTTGTCATTCTGCAAGAACAGACAGTAGCCTTTCCTCACTCCTTTGGTGAAATTAGAATCCCGTTTCTGTCTTTAATGGGTGATGGGACTCTGTGCTTCAGGATTTCTGGTCGTGCAGCGGGGAACAGCAGCTGCTGAAGCCGCTCAGCGATGCAGAAACCCCACAGAAGAGTGGGCAGAAGGAAGCCGAGGTGGCAGAACACAGCGAGCTTGTGAAAGGTCCCAGGGCGCACAGCCAGCGGTACAGAAATACCCTGGAAAAGGGAAGGGCTCAGAATATTCCGAATTTCCCTGGCTGCAGTTCAGGAAAACATCACTGCAGCACCGCGAGCGCAGGCTCCGTAGGATTTCCATCTCCCCTGCACATCCTCCCCCTGAGCACTGATGGACACGAGTGATCCCTCCCAGCTCCACGGGACAAACGCCTCCTTCAAGAGCCAGCCTCGGCAGGCTCTGGCTCAGCTCTTGCCAGGACAAGGCATAAACCCGGGCTGTTATTCACACTACAAATGAAAACGAGCGGCAGAGCTTGGGTCCGCACGCCCTTCACCCAGGCCTAAGGATGAAGCAAGAAACAGCGCCCGTTTAGCAATGGCATCACAGACTGGGAAAGATGGAAGCTGGCCAGGCCCCATCGTGCTTTGAGGACTCAGAAACGATCTCTAAAAGACCAACCTCACCCCAGGACCGTACAACCATCAACAACTGCTCACAGCTACTCCCATTTTCCTATGCTTTCTGTGTAACAGCCACGCAGCTCACATGAAGAAGGCAATTTAAAAATCCACCTGCCAAGAGCTCTGGAGGGAAATCATCCGTGTCCATCCTGCCAGACCACGGTCACCAACCAGCAAAGTCTCCCTTATGACAGACTCGAACACTTCAAGTGCTCACTCCTGCCTTTTGTGGGTTGTTCTTTTTTCCTCTAATGTGGGCAGCACTCAGATAAAAAGAAGTATCTCCTACTACAAGCCAACCAACACCGTATGGTAGGGTAAGGCATGCACGAAAGAGTGACGAGGTTGTGCAGAAGCTTACCCGAATGCCACAGCACCCTGCCCTGTGCTGTCTCACCACAAGAACGTTTCTTTAAATATGTTTAACTCCAAGAAACCTGCTTCAGGACCCACAGCAGGGAGTCAGCACGGGGAAACCGGCCACAAAAGCGCATCTGTGGCAGTAAGGACTCCACCACTCCTGCCCCCAAATAATTTCCTATACAGCTCTGCATGCAAAGTGAATTCAAAGCAGTATTATGGAAGCTTAAGCAATGAAGATTATAAATATATTTATACTGCATTTTCATTTCATACATCCTGCCGCAGGACAATGAAGCTCAATGTTTCTGCTGGAAGGAAGGAGGGTGAAGAAGTGACTTCTGAACTCGACATTTCAATACAAGACTCAAGGTTTCCTTGCAGCCCTGTTTACAGTTCTGGTTGCATTCCTTTTTGGAGGACAGATGCTGGGAGAGCTGTCAGCTCAGCACTAGTCGAGAATTCCAGGCAGAAGAGTTTTCTCTCAAAACAGAACTGCGTCCAGGGGAAACACCTTTGAACAGCCCCAAACCATTTCCTTACACGCAAATCAAGGGCAGAATATTTTAATACAGCGTTCAGCAGAAAAGCTACCATAGATGTTTCCCACTGTAGACTGCCCTTCATGCTCCTAAGATTATTTGAAACCAAAATACCTTTAAAACAAATTCTCTCAACGATGTCATTTACTGTACAGATAAATAACGACTCAGTAGGCTACAACTCATGCCAGTATGGAAGAGAAAATAGCACAGTAGTTGCCAGATTTAAGGTTTTAAACTATAACTGGTCACGGTTTTAAATAATGTTAGTACCTCTAACCATACCCCAAAACATCCACACTGTTCATATTTAATGGTGTTACACACAGATCACTTAATACCAAAAAGGTGCCATAATACATGTCTACTTGAAAGAGAGGGGGATCCTTGTGTAGCACTTAGGTGCTTATTTCTCGGTAGAAAAAGCCCTCTTCATCAACGGCGGGGGTGCTTTCCCAACGTCAAACATCATTTCCAGCGGAGGGTTGTTAAGGCAGCACCAGTCGGGGATGCGGCCTGTCTGGCTGTAATACTCTCTGGACACAGACCGGCTCCCGAGGATGTCCTGAAGGGCTCCAAAAATGGCTCCTGCATTATTGGAGGGGAAAAAAAAAGTTGCATTAACTTGATGGACTGAATTTCTTTTTTTCACAGAATCCCAGACCGTCAGGGACTGGAAGGGACCTCAAAAGCTCATCCAGTCCAATCCCCCTGCCGGAGCAGGAACACCCAGATGAGGTTACACAGGAAGGCGTCCAGGCGGGTTTTGAATGTCTGCAGAGAAGGAGACTCCACAACCTCTCTGGGCAGCCTGGGCCAGGGCTCTGTCACCCTCACTGAGAAGAAGTTTCTTCTCCAATTGAAGTGGAACCTCCTGTGTTCCAGCTTGTGCCCATTACCTCTTGTCCTATCATTGTTTGTCACCGAGAAGAGCCTGGCTCCATCCTCGTGACACTCACCCTTTAAATATTTATAACCATGAATGAGGTCTCCCCTCAGTCTCCTCTTCTGCAAACTAAAGAGCCCCAGCTCCCTCAGCCGCTCCTCATAAGGGAGATGCTCCACTCCCTTGATCATCTTTGTAGCCCTACGCTGGACTCTCTCCAGCAGTTCCTGTCCTTCTTGAACTGAGGGGCCCAGAACTGGACACAATATTCCAGATGCGGTCTCACCAGGGCAGAACAGAGGGGGAGGAGAACCTCTCTCGACTTTTACTTCTTCCCATCTAGAATCTCAACTGTTATTTTCAGCTCTGTCCCAAAAATTAAAGGAATGAAAGCTGCTTTCCTATTCAGAAGCCAAGCTAGTTTCAAATTGCTTCCACTTTTATCTCTTGAAAGCAGCTGAAAACAAAGAATCATCCAGACTGTGCCGAGACTAAAACTGGCCTAGCTGACCTGCTTCTTACAACAACCTTCCCTGCTTTTATTTTAAGCACTTCAAACAAACCACTTTGTGTTTAAGGCAACTTCCTCTCTCCGAAAAGGCTGTCACACACCACCAGCCCAGGTTGACACGAGCCGTGAGACGATTCAGAGCGCAGCAGGTCACTGCACTGCCAGGAGCGTACCAGAGAACCTGGTCCACAGAAATCATCCTCCTCTGCTCATCCTAAAAGTAGACTCACAATGCTTCAAAGCTAAAATTTTATAAACGTTAACATTTCAAGCACATGGATATAAAATCTACCTTTACAGTTAGAGTTATTTCATCATATGTACCAGAGGAGCTCGGCTTCTTAGCTGAGAGTTTAGAAAAGCATGAACTCTCACCAACCTCAAAACCTTCCCTAAAAGAGTTGCTACCAACAGAAAGCCTTTGTTTCCCCTCACTTGCCAGTACAGCATCCCAAATCCATCACGGAGCTGCAGTGTTTGTCACCGGCACTTGGAACAGCGCAGGGAGTTCGCGGCCTCTGGCCTCCCCACAGCTCGCAGCTCCTCTGTCAAGAACTAAACTTGTTTTTCCAAGCAGCAGAACTTCCTGCGCGTCCCGGGCCTCCGCTCTGCCCAGTCACTTCACTGGTGCCAGCACACGGTGGTAGCCCTGCACTGCACTGCACTGGAGTCCACACCTCATTCATATCCCACCGCTGCTGAAAGCTCCTCCAAATCCCCCCGAGGGAGCTTTACTCCCCACGATTTCCTCCAAGAGGGCATAACCATTCCGCAGAGCTCCAGTGCAGCTCGATTTCAGTAGTTTCCCTATGTTTTACTGCTATTTATTTATTACAAACCCCACTTGGAAGGTTTGCTTTTCTACTTTGTACCTCTGCTTAACAGTTGCTTTCATTCTTACCTCCCAGCCAGGCCACACAGTTGGGTTTGGCAGGCGGAGTGTGAATCCGGAAGGTTTTGGTGGCGAGCACCTCTTTGTACTTCGGTTTCTCCACCAGGTACCTGATTTCAGCCATGAGCCTGTGAAGGAATCCCGGCAACATCGCGGTGCCACCGATAATCACCAAGTTCTCTGCCAGCTGCTTCCTGGTGTCTATTGGACACTAATGCAGACAGGAATAAAGAAAACCACGGCGCTTTAACCGCAGTCACACGAGAAAGCATTTGAGTATCTGTGACAAACTCAGTCTTTCTTTCTATGCATTTCTACTGCTGTTTTCTCACACCTTGCTGAAATACAACTGCTATTGTTTTTTATCCAGGCTCCCCAAGAAAACAGGTTTGGGGAAGTACCTGGTTGAGCCTGAGCGCGCTGCGAGTCCCCGTAACGCCCTTGGGTGAGACAGGCCAAGAGCACAGAGGACAGAGGTACCAGTGACAGCAGTTCCCATGAGGAGGTGTGCCAGAGCGAGGTGAAGCCTCAACCAGCGCTCTCAGAGAGGGAAAACACTGACATGTGAGTGACTGGTTTTATTTCCACGTGGGAGAAGTGTGCTACAAAAGCCTCAGTGGCAGAGAAGGTTTCTGCTGAAGTTTGCCTTAGGCATCAGCTAAACCAGCCACAAGACCCAAAGGCATGGGAAAAAAACAACTGGGTGCTGTTTAACACCTGTAAATGTAACATTTGTCCTTCCTCTGACCAAAGGTAAATGCTGAGCTGTACAGAAGTGAGGGGTCCAGGCACAGATCTTGTTAAAAGTGTTTTTCACAAGGAATTCTGAGATGTTCGTCATGTCAGCCAGGCCTAGGGCTCTCAAATAAGTTATGTCTCAGCAAACTAACAAAAATGGCATCACTAACTACAGGAAGTCAACTTTAATTAACACACAGACCACCACATAACGAAAATTTCCATTTATAGCCATTTTCTAATCCACTTTTTCCTACACATAAGAAGAAATTAACCATTTGTATATGCCAGTACAATTTTCCACCACGTATCTAATATACTGCCTGTAATAGAGACCTCCAAATCAGTTTTATTCTCTTAGGCAAACCAGCAGTCTGAGGGACTCGTGAAGTCCAACTCTTAGCAAAACACCTCGAAAAAAGAAGAAACAAAACACCTGGGTCATTTCAGCTTAAGCAGCGTAATTTCTACAACATCAAGTATTAGCTACTCCTCCTATGTGGGCAAAACCTTACTCCCAGATAAACACAAGCCCATTTGTTACTTTAGGAGAGGGTGAGCACCGCGTTTCTAAGAAAACTGACCTGGACACATTGCAATACACCAAAGAGTAAAGAAAAAAACCCACAGAGCTATTGTCTCCCTCTCATCCTTTCACAGATGATGACTGTCGCTGTCTACAGTTGTTCTGTCCCAATGACTGCTCTCCACCTGGGGAGGGGAACTGGGAAAAGGAAAGGAGACCCCTGGGTTGAAATAGAAACAGATCAAATAAATAAATAAATAATGCAACCCAGTATTGATAGCAGTACTGATATAAATTGCACAAAGTTGTACTCAGCTGATGTAGTGGGCACAACAAGCAGTGCAGTAGCCCTCAAGAGCAAAACAACAGGCGAGAGCTTCCGTGGATGGTGACCACTGGAGGAAAGAGAGGGCCATCCTCAGCAACTCCCCAACTTACACTGAGTGTGACGTTTATGGTGCGGATAATTCTGTTTGCCAGCTTGGATCAGCTGCCCTGGCTTTCACTTCCCCCAGCTTCTGCACCTGGCTAACTCAAAACTGCTACAGACCTTGATCACTGCCTACCAGCACTGGCCAAAAACTAAACTAAGTGTCTGGTTAACTTTGTTCCCACTAAATCAGGTGCAGTAGATTCCTCAAAACTGCAGCTTTCCCGAAAGAAAACTGATTCTGCCATTCTATCCCAGCGAAACCAGGACACTGACACATGGGGACTTGCTGCCCCACAGACATTCATCATGTGGCAGAACCATAGGAGTGTTCTCCCTGTGCTAAATCCACGCTCAACTTCTTCAACCCGTCACAACCTGCAGTCAGAAGGGTGATCCAGAAAGCATCACACATAACAGCAGGTTCTCTAAGGCTGGAGGCATGCAATAAATTCTTTATATTATAAAGATACCTGAATAAGTGAATCTAAGATCAAAGTGGCAACAGATGTCTCTTCGTTGTCCTGTTCAAACAGCATTTCCACAACGGAGTCTCTGTTGAAGAGACAGGAAACAGCGTTAATGAGAAGCAAGGCCACGCTATGAGCAAACACTCACGATCAGCAGGGCTGGAAATAACTACAGACTTCCTGCTGGCAACACACTGTCACCGCTGCTTCTGTCAGAGTCCAGGCACCAGGCAGTGCCAAGGGGAGGAGACAACACCCTGCTCACTTCACTAAACCTGTCCTGTCATCCTGCATTAGTGTTCCCTTTCTGTTTCCCCCATCCCTCCAGTCTGCTTCCTCTCATCTTCAACAGTGAGCTCTCTGGGGAGGCAAACACTTACCATGGGCTTGCACTGGGCCCAGCACAAAGCCTTAA